GTTAAAATACTATTTGGAGGGCCTGAAAATAGGTGAAAATTACTTACCTAAAGACAACTGGTTATTTAAAAACACGCATAAGCATTTCACATTAAAACCCAGCTTATAGTTGCTAACTGTATGGACAGGCTTTCTCAGATTCAACATGTTAACTAGGGCCAAGCAAAAGCCTTACTAAACACACAAATAAGATACTATTCCCACTTTTTAAGTAAGTGAAAATGTGACTTAGTTGGATTTTTTGAGTTGTCCTGATAGAGACTGGCTGTGAAGACTATGTAGACTCCTTCCAGTGTAATTAATATTCCACACTGGCTGTCATAGTTTTATGAAATAAGGCACTGGAGGAATACATTACAGATTTCATTTTGCAAGCAATAAATTAGAATTTATCTCACTGTGAACAAGCAGATCAGAAAGGGCAATGCTATAAACACAAAGCTTAGAAGAATTTGTGTGAAAGGACTCTGATATGAAGTCTGGGAAAATGCTGCCACATGACCTACATCAAGTCTGCTTACTACACGGATTTTCAAAATAAGTAACATCACCATGACAAATAATTTTCTTAAAGCTTTATCACTCATTGTACCACTGTTGTATTCAGTTAGCGTTCTCCCAAAAGCAGTTTCATCGCCCGGAGCGCACAAAGAGATACTGATTTATTCCAAATTTGCACAAGTTTTAGTTTTAGGTTGTCTCCCATAGCGTTAGCACAAACTAAGATTTTCACAGTGCTTTTTAATCAGTTAATAAACTTTCATCTCCTGATCATTTCTCCAATACAGCCTCCAGCCGGTCTGTTAAAGACAGGGCTCTTCTCTCTCCCTGCAGGCCAACTAGGCATTCTAATTAACTGCATGTTGTCTCAAGATGCTTCTGTCTTCAAAGACAAGCTTAGTCATAGCATTGCGGGTAAGGATTCCTCTAGTTAACCGCTTTCTCAATTTTAAGGATGATCATCTCAACATGGAAAAAGGTACATACTTGCTATATCTAAGGATACACATATAAACACTTACTAGCTCTTCCTCGACTGACAACGTTAGGATAGAAGATCACTGGAAAAGGGTCTGTGACTAGGCATATGGATGAAGGATACACAGAATAGCTCCCACACTCATTGCCACCTGGTATTTTTGAGGAAAAGGGATCTCTAAGAGTAGCAGAAGCCCAATTTGCTATGTCCAATACAAGCTTTTCATCAGTTTCTACCAGACTTCTCTTTTTAGCAAGACTAGAGTTAAATCACAGCATCACAGAATCAGGGGTTGGAAGGGACCTCCAGAGATCGAGTCCAACCCCCCTGCCAAAGCAGGTTCCCTACACCAGGTCCTTTTCAAATTGAACAATTCCATGAATCTACCACTGAGACAAGACACTGAGGTGCAAACGCATCTTCTGTCATGCATTCCACTGCAATCTGAGACCCCATTTGGTTTCCAACCCACATCATGCTTCCCACAACTTTGCCAGCATCCGTCACTCCCATTCTGCAACAACCAGCCCCTACTCCAGAACATGGTGACATCCTTTACACTACAGCAGCCTGCCTGGGGAAGCTACTCTCAAGTAATATGGCATATGCATTTCCAGTGCATTTTTTGCACTGCAGACTTTGCACATTATCTCCCCATGTGAACAAAGTCAGTAAACAGTATGCTTAAGAGACTGCAAAATGAAGTTGCACACACTACTTGATAAAACTATTTTGCACAATATAAGCTTGTTTATACACTAAAATGTAAATTTATAGGAGTTGTAAATAAGCTGTTTGCCACACTGCTGTTAAACTTGTCTGTTGCATTGTTGGTTTTGTTTGTTGGTTGGTTTGGTTGGGCTTGGCTTTTGTTTTTCTTTCAGGGAGAAAGCACTTCATTTTCACTTTCTGCAAATGAAACGTGCTCATTTTGAGAATGAAAAAAAAAAGAGAGAGAGAGAGAAAAAGAGAGTCTCACGAAGGTCACTTTTCCCTTTGCAACAAAACTAAATTACAGACTTGGTATAGCAAATAAGAAGTGACATACAATCCAAAGCAACCTGCTGTAAAATATAACAGCTGGGAGCAGTTAAAAGCTTCCACGCTGTTTCCCTTTCTTTTCTGAATACCTCATTTTGTAGAAATGCATCTCAAAATTGGAGAGAAAAAAACAGCACACAAATGGAGCTGTTATTCAAGACTTGTGCTGTTTATTGCTTGCATTACTCTCTATGTCTGCATACAGGCATGCACACATGTAAATATATGTTTAAACTCTAAATATTATGTTATTATAATATATAACTAATGCAGAACATTAACATTGTATATTATTTAAAATCTTGCGAGGTAGTTATTTTATTGTAAAATAATTGTATATAGCATTTCAAAAAGGAAGAGAATGATACTGTCAATTAAGCAGTAGACCCAGCACACATCAATCAGTTATACAGTAATCCCTCCTCAGAACAAGGGGCAGCAGATGCCAGTATAACTAATCTGTCCTCGCTCTCCCATTCCCAGCAAAGTTCTCCCACTTAAGATTACAGGCTGCCATCTGCTGGTGCTCTTACATAAATTCTTTTGAAAAAAGGTTACTTAAGACATCGTCTTTTTCGCAGTTTCTTTCAGAGCACATAGGATCACAGAAAGGCTTGGGTTGGAAGCGACCTTGAAGCCCACCCAGTCCCAACCCCTGCCATGTGCAGGGCTGCCCCCACCAGCTCAGGCTGCCCAGGGCCACATCCAGCCTGGCCTTCAGCACCTCCAGGGATGGGGAACCCACAGCTTCTGGGCAGCTGTGCCAGGGTCTCAGCACTCAAGACTGAAAATTTTTCTCCTAACATCTAACCTTAAGCCATTTCCCCTTCTGCTATCACTATTAGACTGTGCAAAAGACACCACAATTTCCCCAAATATAATCTCCCATTTTATTTCAGAAAGTATTTATTATACTTTCCATTACTTTTCAATGGATATAATGAATGATCCATTTGATGACCATTATCAAATGTATCCCATTAACAACAAAGAGAGATAGAATGGATCTCTGTTCTTCTGCCCTCCTTTTTTGATAAAAAAACTGAATGTTTTTTCTAACACAACAATCAAATAATTATCAAAGCAAGTCAAGTTTCCTTGAAATAGTATTTCTTATTTGAAATAATTACCAGTGCCTGAATTACTTAAATAACTTGTATATAAAATGGTCATTCTGTATATGGAAAGGCATGAACAGGAAGACTGATATTACAGCTAAACTAGTTCAGCAAAGCAGAGCTCTGTTGGATCACAGGTAGTGCAATCCTTAACAGTAAAGCATAACACATACAAATGCAATACGAAAGCAAGAGAGATGTTCCATTCCTTTTGTATTTTGTCCTTCATTACATAAACCTGATCTAGCAGTGCACATCCCTGTTCATGGCAGGGAGATGGAAAAGATGGCTTTTATATGTCCCTTCAAGTAAGGATTCTATGGTAAAATGGATTTGTTTGGGGCAAAATAAAAAAAATACAGAAAAAAAATTAAGCTCCATTGAAAATATTGTAAACACAAGAAGAACTATTACTGCTATATAACAACGGACAAGAACTTCTCTTAAAATGAGTTTGGAAAGCAAATTTGCTTTGGTAATACCAAGTATTAAAATTCACTGGATCTATTATTAGCAGTGGAAGATATCTCAGACTTCAGTAACTGTCCCACTTTGAATTGGGCAAATCTAGGCTGCAGCAATCCTATCATAGTGCCTTCCAACATAGAAGCTCAAGTGTTACTGTTCAGCCTGCAAAATACAATTGTAATTTAGGGGAACAGTGGTCTTTAGAATCACTATTATCCTTACTAGCAACTTTATTTTAAATGACAAGGAAGTACTATTACACAAAACACTTCCACTGACTTTTAGAAAGGTTTAGAAAATATTTTTTGTTATAAAGAAAACTTAGAAGAACTATTTGAAGAAAAGAGATAGTGATATATTTTTCAAAGAAATTATGGTTTTTTTTTTTTATCATGCAACTTGAACCCTTCTTATTATATTGTGCAAATATATTTTTCATCCACAGCATCTTTCACATGCATCTAGCACGCTCCCTGAGTTGTGAATGAGTGTGATGCTAAATTATGAAATCAGAAATACAGTGGGTCACCACCAAGCATTGTGCAACAGATGAAAAACTCTGAAAAAAACCCCAAACCTCCATGCAGCCACCCACAGAATTACACAATTTTTTACATTTTAAGAATTGGAAATACCATCCAGAATATAAAATCAGAACAAATAGAAGAGAGAAAACAATAGCTCGTGTCATTTAAGTTATTCTGCCAATAGTGAGTCATAACTGATTGTCCTTGGTTTCAGGTTTTAAATGTGAAGATAAAAATCTTATAAATGTCCATTTATGTTTGACATTCAAGAGGGGTTAAGCTAAAGAAAATCGGCACTGAATACTGCAAGAAAAGGATCTAAGGGAAAAGTTTGACCTCTTCATTCTGATTTAACTTTGATGATGTTCTATACACGATGAGGGCATTGCTATCTCACAACCCATCAGCAGGTAATTCATAAGGAGATCAAAGAAAGGAAAATGCCATAGAATCATGCATAATTTAACAATTTCATCAATAAACAATTCTTTAGATATTAAAGGGAACTGAGAGAAATGTGGAGAAGGAGAAAGGGAAAGGAGACCCTATTTTTGCATCACATTGAAACCACTTTGCAAGAAAACTCTGGATTTGTGCACATACAGGAAATGAGGTAAATAGTTTCCCAATTTCCATCAACAACCACGATAATCATGCACTTAAATATAGATATATGTAAATGTATACACTGTAAATTATACTTGATCTTCTTGTGTAGGTCGCAATACCCCATGTTATAATACCAAACAAATATTAATGTATCATCATAGAACATCTGTACCTGTTTTAATTTAGCTTATAAACATCTGTTTTTAAACGAAGACTAATCACAAATAAAGAAAAATTAAATATAGAATGCTTGGGGATTCTTTTTTTCTCAACTTCTATGCATTTTAATTTTGCTTCATCTATTCCAGTCTACCATAGCATAAGAGATCTTACAAAGGACAAAGTCTCATCACTGTAGGTGTTAAGCAGCAAGATAAGAGGGCAATCAAGGAGAGCAGGGATAGAGTCAAATGCTTTTCTGAATTAAGACATTAGTTGTGATACTCAATTTCCAGTACTTCTTTTTTTCCAGCCTAAACATCATAAGTATGACAAGTATAAAAATGTTTACAATGTAATGTGATATTACAAATGCAAAATTTAGATGCCAGAACAAAGCTAAACTTCTTGTCTATTATACTGACGACATAATTACCACATAGGTATTAAGAACAGGGACTATACAAAAAGAGTGTAAAGCATTGGTTAAGAACTCAGAAAATAAAATGTGATTTTTTTTTTTTTTAATGACAAATCAATGACAATGTTTTTTACTTTCATCTCAACAATACAACTTAAAAATCACTTTTGGAGTGAAAAAAAAGGTTAATTCTTCACTTTTCTAAGGAAAGACAACTATTTAGCTCCATCCTTTCACTGTCTTCTCCACAGTATGCCAAAACTGGGGGCTTTAATTTAGCGCGTGAGTAGAGCCTGGCAGTTTTTTAATGTTGATCACATTGATTCGTACTTACATCTCCATATTCAGATGAGGTGATTCTTACAAGTTTAGAACAAAACCATAGTCTATTACTCGGGCTTTTTATATGCCTCTTCAAAGCTGATACATTGTACCACATTTACACAGAAGAAAGTGACCTCAACATTTGCTCTCAGGATGAATTACACCTTCCTCTCCAATTCAAGTTCTTGGAGTAGTTCTCATGCACCTCAATGGCATATGTTGCACATTGTCCACTGCCAGTGGCAGGGAACAGGGAACATTATGAAGAGGTGTAGAAGGACAATAAGGTAAAAAGTAAGGCCTAGCTAGCAGTTACCAGCATTTGATAGCCATCGACCTTAAAGCTATTTCTTCTTAGATGGTCCAGGCAACATATAACTCCCATCACTGTAAGCATTTATACTGGTTGGTAGCATGCATCTCTCATCCTTCAGTCATCACTATCTTCCAAGCTTTTTGTTTATCATTACTACTACTTTCATTTACCAAATGGTTCAATCTGTTTTTTCAACACTAAGAAATAAAGAACAATTTATAACTCATAACAATTAAAATATGGCATTCTGCTCTCATAACTTTGGCTAGTTCAGGACTGAAACAAAGTAATTATATTTGTTAGGAAAATACAATGTGTATAAAATATATTAAGATAAAGATATTTCTTGCACATTGGACTTTTTAATTAAAGTGTGAGAAATGTGTAAATAGAACCAATATCTTTTCACATGTAGTCAGTCTGTTCTTGTATGCTGATTGCTTGCTTGTAGTCTTCTACAGCTTCTCTACTGAAACCCAATTTAGCACGAATATCAGCTCTTAGTCTGTACATCGTGGCATCATTAGGCTGAATTGACAATGCTGTAAAAATCAGAAATAGAATGTTAGGTAAAGAGAATCACAGAATTGCAGGGATTGGAAGGGACCTCAGAGATCGTTGAGTCCAACCCCCTGCTAACGTAGGCAAAAAAAACATTATCAAAAAGTTTGTCTGTGTTCTCATTCTTCTCCAAGCATGTTTTCATAACAGAAAACATTACCTGTACTAAAGTTCCATGCAAAGGTAGGCAACTTTGTCACAACACTTATTTCTTAGATTTTATTTTCTTTTTGATGCAACCTATACATCTCACCTTCAACACTGCTCCAATAGCAGAAACTATGCTGTCCTCTGTAAAATGAGCAAAATCTAAAAAAGGAAACACTCTCACCATCCACATTCTACAACACGGCAAGGAAACCAATATCCTACTCAGTTTCTCTATTATATAAGAAATACCTGGGAAATTGATGGGAAGTTTCATCTACTGTTTTAAAATTCTGCTTTAAAGAGAAAATTAGTAGTCTAGTCAATTTTCATTATCAAAACACTATGAAATAGTCATTAAAGCCAAGATGTAATTATTATTAGTCACAAAAACCAAGATAATTTTGATAAATCTTACTGTAAAAATAACTGATTTTTCAAAAAGAAAATCTACAACTTGCAGTTATTCTTTCTGAAAAGTTCACTTTTTGTGCAAACAAACGTTGTCAAATTAAAGTCTATTATTAAATTTTGTTCCATAAAATTAATACAAACTAAATATAGCTTCAGTTTCCTGGAAGAAGTGGCCTGTGTGTCCAGAGTTGCTGGATTTCTGGTTAGTACCAAGGATAGCAGTAGCAAGGGAGTAATATGGTTCAGCTGTTCTGAACCTAAACAAAATGTTTCTATTTTATAAAGATCAAGATAAATCATAGAATGATTTGGGTTGGAAGGGACCTTTAAGATCTATTTCCAACCCCCTTGGTATAGGCAGAGACATCTTCCTCTAGAGTAGGTTGGTCAAAGCCCCATCCAGCCTGGTCTTGAATGCTTCCAGGGAGGCGGCATCCACAACCTCGCTGAGCAACCCATCCCAGTGTCTCATCAGCCTCACAGTAAAGAATTTCTTCCTAATACCTAGTCTGAATCTACCCTCTTCCAGATTAGAACTATTTCCCCTTGTCCTGTCACTACATGACCTTATAAGAAGTCCCTCACAAGCTTTCCTGTAGGCCCCGTTCAGGTACTGGAAGGCTGCCATAAGGTCCCGTAGGAGCCTTCTCTTCTTCAGTCTGATGTTCTCTCAGTTTGTCCTCAAAGGGAAGGTGCTCCAGCCCTTCGATCATTTTCATGGCTTTCCTCTGGATCTGCTCCACATCTCCACGTCCTTCTTCTGTTGGGGTCCCCAGAAGTGGACTGAGGTGGGGCCTCACAAGAGCAGAGTAAAGGGGTAGAATCACCTCCCTCAACCTGCTGGTCACACTTCTCTTGATGTAACCCAGGATACAGTTGGCTTTCGGGGCTGCAAGCGCACATTGCCATTTCACATTGAATCTTTCATCAACCAGCACGCCCCAGAAATCCTTCTTCTCAGGGCTGCTCTCAAGCCGTTCTCCACCTAACCTGTATCTGTGCTTGAAATTGCCCCAAGCCAGGTGCTGGACTTTGATAAAAACTTGATTCAGCTCCTCTTCTCTATGAACCATGCTATTCTCCCACAAAATCTTATGGAAGACTAATACCATTTCAAAACTTGGTCTAGGATAAGCACATACTGAATTTCTTGCTAATACATGAAATAAGATACATGAAACCCTTGTTCATGTCACCTAGATTCCTCATCACATACAAAACTTTTGGTATATACAGTATTTTCCTGCACTTCTTCCAGCAATTTTGTTTAGAACAGGGTTCCGAACAGGTTCAGCTGCTATGACACAATATGAAACAGTTTTTCCTTCTAATCTACATAATTCTTTTAGTTATAAGATTGGAAGAAAGTCTGAAAATAATCAGTCTTCCTCTTTCTAGTCATGTCATAATACCTGATCAAATTAGTTAGAAAGCATTAGCAAAAATACATATGCAGTTGCTGAGTTATGAAATAAAACCAAGTTGCTTATCTTAATTTTTAGTATGCTACTATACAGTAGGTAAAAAAGATTACCTGTTGAAATGTCTTTCTCAGCTAGTTCATACTGCTTTAATGCATTATAGAAATTTGCCCTGTTAAAATACACTGCTGCAGATAATGGACAGAGGCAAACTGCCTTCTCAAAGTCTTCTTTTGCCTCTTCAAAATTTTTTAATATTGTATTTGTAACAGCACGATTCATGATAGCAGATTCATTTCTTGGTTCAAGCTTTAGTACCTCTGAATAATAGCAATAAGCCTATAAAAAACATGAATTGGAGATAAAATAGACTGAATAAACATTCCTCAAATTTTAACATTCTGTTTAGCATTATTTGCACATAGAATAGAAGCACACACAGTACCCACACATCCAGAACAGCTGGCCCTAACTGATCAAAGTGATATTTCACACCATGGTTGGCATGGTGGTGGTGAGTAGATGGTCGGACTAGATGCTCTTTGTGGTCTTTTCCAATCTTAATGATTCTGTACAACATTGAGCTCGTCAAAATCTGGGAGAAAGAACTAGGGAGGAGATAAATTTAAACTGATGGTGTCTGTCTTGTCATTGTATGTACAATGAAGCTATGTTTTCCTGAAAACAGTTAAATATATGCATGTTAATGGGAAGTAGTGAATTAATCCCTTGTTTTGCTTTGCTTGTACACACAGCCTTTGGTTTACATATTAAACTGTCTTTATGTCAACTCACAGGTTTTCTCACTTTTACCCTTTCAGTTCTCTTCCCCATCACACTGGTAGGGACAGAGTGAATGGCTACATGGAGCTTAGCTGCCTACCAGTGTTAACCTACAACATCCAACGTGGGGTCAACAGCCACCTAGACAGACTTCTGAAAAAGAAACAGCTGGCTTCACTAAATTTTAAGTATAGCACAGAAGAAATGAACCACACACTAGGGACAGTTTGGATTAACATACAAAGTAGTTTATAGTCCAACTCCTTGTTTCTCCATAAAGAAACAGCTTCTGGGAGACAGAGTAAGGAATCACAGAAATATAGAAAAGATTAAGAACAACCCTTCCAAGACCAGTCTTTGTGAATTATTCCAGATGCAGATAAAGAGTACAAGATCACAGAAGAAGCCACATGCAGGACACTGGCCTTGTAGTCTTAAGGAATTTATTATCTAAGTCTGACTAATTCTATTGACTGAGCAACAGGGAGTCTAACTCAGAGAAACAAACAGAAACATTAAATTGCTTTCGGACATCATTGATTTCTTGTGCTGTATGAAGTACAACTTCAAACCATATGCCACGTCTGTACTATACATGATGAATTTCTCAACATGTGAATTACAAGCTGAAGTGTTTACAGATGCAATTCTAGCAGGGGATTAATTCAAGTCGATCAGAAGTGCTGAAGCATCTTTACTGGTTCTGCATTCCTACAGCAGCTGGACTATAACGTTCTAATCAAAAGCCTGATTTTGCCCATGAAATGTGATAAGCAGCATAACAGGAAGCCAAAAGGGGAAGAAAAAAAAAAAAAAAAAAATCAGTGTAAGGGCCCTCCTCAGAGAGAGAAAAATAAATGGTTCTTGCCTTCAAGTTTTGAATACTCTCAAGAGGAATTTAAATATTTCCTCCGTATTTGGAAGACACATACTGTATTTTAGCAGAAATAGGTGATTTAAAGTTCTTAAGTTTCTGTAGTAACAGATGTAAGATCTGACTTCTTGATCAAAACTCATCAGCAGAAGATTCTCTTTATTTTACTCCTAATGGTGTTATGGTGAATCTGGGCAAGTTATTTAACACACAGCAATTAGGCTTGAGGGAGCTTACTTAACATCAGTGAGATTTTGGTACCATGCTCCATCACAAGTTTTTGTGACGGGTGTCATGGTTTTATGTTTTTTGATTTTCAGCATTCCACATCAAAACATCATGTACTGGAATTAAAGTGCCCCCTGTCACGGGCATAAACTGATCTAGTTAACTCCGTGACAGACAGGTATCTTACTGTCATGAATCTCAGTTCATATCAATGCTGCAATAAATAGTAGTAGGGCAATTATTACTAATTACTACAGCATAATTAATCCTCCTGTTAGAGGATCATTAAAAAAACAGTGTAAAAAAGTTTCAAGTTAAGCATATTAGAAGACATTAATAAATACCGTGGGTACAAAGATAAGTCAAATAAA